TAATATTTACAGGGTTGGGGCTGTGTGTGAGACAGTAATATTTACAGGGTTGGGGCTGTGTGTGAGACAGTAATATTTACAGGGTTGGGGCTGTGAGGGTGAGGTGTCTAGGGTGTCTTAATATTTCGGTGAAGTGGGGGTTATAGCACCTCCTAGTATTCACTTTTGACCACTAGGGCCAATTGCTCATTCCTGCTGAAATAATTCATGAGAAGGATCAAGAGACAGAATCAATGAAGAGGTTTTAAATGATTATTACTCTATGAAGTGCTTTAAGGTAGTCATCTCAGGGGCCAGCTATAGATGATTTAGGATTCAGCCTATTAACAGAAATAATTGAAAGGGCTGAAGATTTGCCTGCAGGGAGATAGAAGGTGCAATAGAGTATGAACTGGCACTTAGTGTCCAATGAGATGGGTTTCACTTCATATATAATTCAGCTGTTTTAGTCCAGTACAGATTGCTGTTGTATTCATGAGCAACAGATCAATTTTAAATTTCGGACAACACTACTACTATATATTACTTTAAGGCACCATGGCTCTATGATTTTTGTTTTTTCTTGAGATACAATGTTTGGAAATTGGCATATGTCAATGTGCTGGATGTGGGAAACACAGGAGGAAGAGAAAGATCTGTCTCACTCACCACAGCACAGCCAGCTGCTTGTCCTCCTGGCTGGCCTCCGGTCCCGAATGGCTCTTCAGCCTCATGGCGTACCTGCGAAAGACAGGAGAGCCCGCTGCCTGAGGGCACGTGACAGATCCAAGGTCTGAGCTCCAAGAAGCTCACGACTGTCCAGATGAAGCTCCGGAGGCTCTAGGTTACACTTTGTGAAGGCTCACACCAACAGACTTTACAGCTCCCATTAATGGCTAGTAATTCCTTCCTCAACAAACCACTAATGATACCCAGGTGAGAGAATGCATTTCTCACATCATCACTCATAATTAATAATTAAGAAATTGACATCCAGTGAGTCCATTTAGAATTAATGAGTAAGAAGCTTTTTGGTGGCCTGTCGTGGCAGATCTCTTGCATCTGCAGTTTTGCCATCCACAGGGAATTAACTCTCCCTCCTCCGTCACAGGATTTTCCTGTAAATGTGTAAATGTGTTTGGTCGCTTAACACTTTCACCATGGTTTTCTGTATTTGGGAGGATAGCTACAAATCCTCAGCTCTCCTCCAGCCTAGACGAGAATCACATAAAAGGCGGCTGGCACTGAAAGCACTACGATCTGTGAAGAACGGTCAGACCGCAGAGCCGCTTAGTGGCTTCCCATGATGCAAGAGGGCTGGTCCTGACAACAAGAGAGTGTCGCTCTCTCGTTGACACATGCGGACGGATGGGCGACTAACCGGATGAGGTCCACGGTCTCGGAATACATGGTGTACGGGGACTTGGCCTCCAGGGGGCCTTCTTCCATGGCCTTCCCGCACATCATGAACGACAGGGCGGCGTCCACGTAGTTCACAGCCTTCCCGAACCTGTCCACCTGCAGGGGAACACCCACGCACAGAGTGATGGGGCCCGGGCTCGAACCCGTGTTCAGGCGAGTCCCTAAACCAGTACATCTTTTTTAATAGTGAGGGGGGTTTCTCATTGTGCTGCTACACACCTTTTCTATTGTTGTATAGGGAAACGATTTTCATCCAGAGCTGGACAGGAACAGCCTCTTATCTTTCTCATTGCCTTCATTGTTATAACATATACTGTACGCCAACACACGGCACATTGTTTTGTATGCTGTGCACCCTGTTTGTTGCTGTTTTTTGCTATTATAAGAATGCCCTTCCTTACCTACTCATGCAGCATACATAATTTCTCTCAGGGCTGCCTGGACATTGGATGAAGTTAGAACAGAGGGGGATGGTTTTAGAATCGTGCCACAATGTTTAACCAGTGGATGACCAGTCCCTATTTAGGGCTGGCTTTAAAGTCCTCGTGAGATCCAATGGTGCTGTTACTCGACTTTGAGATTTCAAGCAGGGGTTTGTGGGCCCTGGGCCTTGATGAAGGGATAGATCTACACAACATCACGTCCCCTCAGGGTCTGGTAAGGCAGCTAAATTCCATGGCTAGTTAAACCAGAGCGTGAACAAAAAATGACCTCAGTCTCCTTGTGTATTGGAAACTAATTATTCACTGTTTAGGCAGGGGTTAATTCCTAGCTGAATAACACGATGTTTAAGATGTTTAAGAAGATTCCATTCCCGAGTTTTCTGCATCTTCTGCTTTTCAGAAGGTAATTAACCCCTACCTGTTCCTTTTGGAAGCTGACACCTCTGGCTCTTCAAAGGTCTCTTCGAAAATCCTGTAGCAGCTGCCAATCAAACTGATTTCTATAAACCATAATGACTTGTAATCTCAGCCTCTGCCTCCCAAACCACAGTGGAAGTAACCCGTTTGGAAATTCTGTTGTGAACTCAGACACATACGCTTAAAGAAGAGGGGGGAGACACACATACTGTTATTTAATACTACACCACTGAAATGGGGTCTTACTTAGAAGCTAATTGATCCAAGGATGTCATATGGGCATTTCCTGAAATAAATCAGTGTGTGGGCTTCAAAAGCATGGCTGCTAAAGCTCTTAATTAATAATAATTGCTTACACTTATATAGTGGTCACATGCGACCCCTTCTGGCAGGACTGGCTCATGGCCTCAGTATAGCACCCCTGATTACAGACACACCGATAGGACAGGATGTCTGCCTTTAGCAGTTGCAGTGCACTGCAACACTTATGTACTGGTTGGGGATGAGAAATATCCCAAGAAAATGCCTTTGTTTGTAAAATGATCAACAAAGACGCTCAACAAAAATAAAACCTACGGGGAGGGTGCTGGCTGTAGACTGCCAGTTATTACACGGGCCACAGGGATAACAGGGGTTGTTATGACGTTTTTCCATATCCTTTGGCTCCATGGGAAATGGATGTGGGTTTTTGACGGACCTGTGTTACTACAAGAAAAGCATTGTTTTTAAACCAGGGGCATGAATCCCAGTCTGTTCACATCCTCCCTATCCATTTTTGGAATCGAGCTTAATTATGGAGAGTGGCACTGCACATCTTTTATTAATGAACCCAGCCACTAATTAGTATCCTGAGATCTGCCCTACTCACCATGGCGTCTGCTCTGTGCTTCATCCTCTTAGCTTCTTGCATGTAATATTCAGCGTGGTGTGATCTAAAGTCGCAAAGAGAGGCAGAAGCACATACAGGAACATGAGCACCTGGTCCAGACTCCAATGACGTGTTTGCAGTTTTAAAGGGCACATTTGTACAGAGTGCTAAGCATGCAGCTGATCATCTCTCCCTCAACTGGTTTGCTTCTCATTGAAAGCAGATCTGTTCATTATTCTTTAGGTCTATAAATTCCGAGTGAGCTGGAAGAGAGGTCAAGCACCAAAACACGAATCCGTTCGGCTTAAAAATGATCCGCGGTTATTTTATCTGGGATCAAAAATACCAGTTCAAGAGATAATCAATTAACCCTAAAGAGAAGATTATTTCAGCCAATTTCTCTCCCCTTGTTCTGATGTCCTGCACTTTGCAGAACCCATGTTATTTTATAGCAGAGGGACCTTAGCACAGTGATAATACAAATGCAGCACAATTTCAGGACATACATCCTGGCCTTGTACATAGTCCAGGGCCTGACACAGCTTGGAATTTGGCTGATAATTTCTATCACTCCTGCAGAGGTACTTTTTTGGGGAGAAAGCTTAGTTTGAAAAGGGGTTCTGGAAATAACTTGAGTACATACAGTAGTGCGAAATAATTCCAGTTTACTGAAGAACAACTTGTTTGCCACAGGGAGTACAAGTGTGACAGAACTATCAATTCTGAGTATGAAATAAATGAAATAAATGTTTTTTAATCCACGTGGAAGAGCCTGAAGCGTTTCGTCCTGCTTCGCTGGATTAGGATATCTATCGCTCTGCAGGGCTTGACAGATCTGCACGCGGGCGCGGTGCTTACATCTCGTGGCCGGGTAGGTGCGGTCTCTGGCAGTCGGTCAGATTCAGGGGATCGGCCCAAGGATCACACACGGGCTGGGGGCCAGTGGGGAGGAGGAGCTGCTCTGCATGAACCTGGTGCGTCTTCTGGTGAGAGCCCACAGAGACAAGATTAAGACTTTCAACAGCTGGTGACGGTTCACACCGCTGTCATCTGGCATGCAATTACAAACTTAGTACAACCCCTTCTTCACACATGCCCAGATTTCCTCTTGAACATGACTGGGCTGATGCCTTCTTTCTGCAGCTCCCTGTGTACTGTATAATTCCACTCTTTTTTCCTGCCAGCATCTGTACGTGTCCCAGAATGCTGGTTGTCTTAGATTTTCACATTCAATGTGTAAAAATGAAGGTATGTGTTTCTAACAGTTGCTTTTGGGAAGTATTTTTATGAGACATGAGTTTGGAATGTTGAGTCTGTGTCTGATACAATTTGTCAACAGTCAATTTAGTTTAAAGCAGGGTCACGAATAACCAAATGTGCATACAGTATATCCAACTCCTCCCCTATACTGTTACATAATGTACTACAGTATATAGCATGTAAGGCTTAAAGACATAAGTAACCCTGCCTTATATGGTCATTCAAGTACTTATGCGTTGGCTTTAAGTTAATTAAAATAACACTGATCCAGTAAAACAAACAGTAGCAAACACGACTGTCTAGTAATCAGCTAAAACAAATAACATGAATTCCTCCCCTGCGTCCAGCAGAGGTCTGCACTTTCTCTCCCTGCTCTCCCAGCCTGTCATTCCCCACCCAGCTGACACAGAACCGGGAGTGTTCGTTACACGATAAAAACAAGTCCAGACTGAGATGGGGATGCTGGGTAATGCGTCGCTGGGCAGGTGGCAGGGAGGGACTCACTCACTAGCTAGATCCGCCACACAATCCAGTTTCTTGCACAGCTAATTTGAAAGTTGACGTTAACATCCTTTGGCTCAATTTCATCCTGCTCTGTTCTTCTTTCACCCACAAGATGGATAGAGGGGTGGCACTGTGGCTAAGGATCTGTGCCTGTAGCTGAAAGGTTGTCGGTTCAAATCCTGCAGCTGACACAGGACTCCTACTCCATTGGGCCCCTGAGCAAGGCCCTTAACCCCAGCTGCTCCAGGGGTGCTGTATAAATGGCTGAGCCTGTGCTCTGACCCCAGGCTTCTCTCTCTCCGCCTTTGTGTCTCATGGAGAGAAAGCTGGGGTAGGCGGAAAGACAAATTCCTAATGCAAGAAATTGTATTTGGCCAATAAAGTGATTGTGATCTTAATCTTAAAACCCCATTGGCCAGACCAAATCGTAAATGTTAAAGAGACCCTACATTACTGTGCTGGTACCAAGGGTTATTGTAAAATGATGCTGTCAAACCTTTTGAATTCCTCATTCAATAATAATTAATCGATCATCGAGGACACAATATTTCAAACAAAGTTGAGGTAATTCCAGTCAAAAATGAGTGTAAATTGTAAATTGCAAATTGTATTGCAATTACAAATGGAAAAGGCTAATTGAAAAATAAACTTTCCCATCCACTTGCACTTTCATAAACATCGAGTAGGAAACTGAAGTTAAGAACACTGGTTTCACATGCAAGTAAGCGTGCAATAGCAACACACTTGAATTATTCTAAAACTGATGAAGTCTTCTCTAGAACACGAGGCACTTCTGTACAGAAAAGGTTGAAGAGGTCTGGAACAAACTGCCCAGTCTTCCATCAAAGCCGATACTCTGGCTTCTGCCAGATAATGGCTGGAAGAGACCCTTGTGTCAATTAAGCTACTATCAACCAAATGATCTTGGCGGATCGAAAGGCCTCCACTTGTTAATAAGGTATTAAATCTGCCGCTTCAGTGTCATTTTTAAGGAAAGCTATTTTCCCAAGGCAGGCAAACCTATCTTGTCAACCTCTAAGATGAAGCAGCTTGCAAGGGTGGGCAAGGCGTGTCGGCCGATCTTCTCTCCCTCTGAACCTTTCTCATGTCCTTCTGACGCCCAGCTGGCCACGCAGTGCAGAGCTCCCGCCGTCAGGCTTACATGCACTTGCGAGGGCCGTGACGGCGTGTCCCTCTCTGGCTGCTGGTGTGAGTCCGGCCTGCTGCTACCACTCCCTGTCCCGGCCGCTCCCGGATTCCCTGAGCTCTCCTGAGTCCCGGAGCCATCCGAGAGCGGAGAGAGCGGCGACAGCATCCTCCTGTCGGCGTCCGGAAAGGGACTGGCATAGCTGTGGGAGGAATGCAGGCTTAGCCGTTTCGCGGTCTGAGCTGTATCAATGACACCGGGACTGGGAAAGCACAGGAAATAAGACAAACTGTAAGAGAAGAGCTGTTTCCCACTCCAAGTCCTAAACCTTTCTGCTCTCGTTTACCTCTTTAAATTATTTTTCACGCACTTAATGAATTAATTAATGAAGGTTTAGAATAAGGACAGTATGAACATGAAGAATAAGTAGTGAGTATGAAACATGTACTGTACTTGCATACTTAATACTAATCAATTGTAGCTAATTTTCTCAAATTTTTAGTCCCAGTTAACAGCTTTGCAACTCTCTTTTCTGCACTTTCTTTCATCCCTTTTATGCTTTCAAAGTTACGTTTCCACAAAGCAGGAAGCAGAAAGCTTGCTGAACAGTTTTTACTTGACAACCGACGGGTTCAAGGCCTGCGGTGGTGGTGGTGTTTCGGAAACCACACTAATGGGACCGGCATGCTTACGCGCTGGCGGCAAGGTCAGCGTACACTTCCGGCGTCGGCGTGTCCCTGGAGACAGTCAGGGCCGGTGCGGCGTCTTTGTGACTCCTCTTGTGCTCTCTGTGCGCGCTGCTGTTTTCGCTCTGGGACAAGCACACACACCAAAACTGGTTATATAGGCCTCAGTTCCTCCTGCGCCCCTGGCCGAGGGAAGAACCCGACCTGTCACGCGCTTTATAACTAAGAAAGACAATTCTGCAAAATGGCTGGGCCTTTGGTGAAGTGGTCCAGGAGGTGACCTGACCCCTAGTGTTAATGCCACAGAGTGACCAGAGTGGCTACAGGCCAGCAGGTCAGGGACTATATTGACTTTACGTTTGCTGTACTATTGGGTAATAGTGGCCGGTGTTTTTGGTGTCTGTTTCCTCCCTCTAATCAAAGTCTTCAAGCACAAATACTGGGGCAAAACCAATCAACAAGGGCTAAAGGACACACTATTTGCTCAGAAGCCATTCAGTTACCACAAAGGATGGGACGGCATGTTGGGGTGTGTGGTGGTACTGAGCCAGAGCAGACTGGACTTGGGGCAGAGGGGATCAACAGGAAGACAAAGGAGAGACAGAGAGGGGGCATAAGGGACCTCATTGTTCGGGACAGCAGCGACTGAAGACGATGCTGTCACGAACCGCATTCCTATGAGCACCTCTCACCGTAGACATTCTCACACTAATGAATCAATTGTCATTCCTCATGTTCTTCCCTATTTATACCCTCTCACTCCACTCAGTCCCCGCTCACTAGTGAGAATAACCTTTGCCTTTCTCTTGTGTGCGTAAACTACTCTCGACCTGATTTCTGGCTACCCGACCTTGTTTTTCCTCCAGCTTCGACTTCGTCTCACCTCTCATTTTGGATTTATCGTTATGGATACTCTCGACCTGACTCTTGTGATACCCGACCTAGCTCTTCTACCTCGACTACGACTTTTGCCTTTGGGATCTGGACACCAATCACTAGCTACTACCTACAGGCTCAGTGCTGCATAGGGTCCAACCAGGTGCTCCTAACGCCATCCTTGACAGATGCTCAATGTCACGATCGTAAACCACTCCTCTTAAGGACGCTCCAGCCCTTCCTTGTTTATTCTTTATCTCCTGCACCTGCCTCCGGTTCCTGCCCCCGTCCTATAAAAGCCAGAAGTTCCTGCCTATCGGGGCTCAGCTCTGGAAGATGGACGTCTGGAAGCCCACCTACCCGCGAGTCCAGGAGCTTCACAGGCTTCACAACGGTGTCCTGACCATCTGGGTCTGGAACTGGGAGCGCCTGGCCCTGTTCCACCCTTTTATTCCCCCTGACCCTTCGCTGGATCCCGCTCCGGCTTTTAACCTTGTTCGTCAGTGTCAGGATGGATCACCCAGCTTTGGAAATTGGCTCACTCTGTTTACTCTCATGGACTCCCTTTGGACTTGTTTGCCTCGGAACCCACCATCCTGAACACCAGCGCACCTTGGACACGCCCCCTGTTCTTCTTCCAGCCCCTATCCTAGTCTTTTTCCCCCGTGTTTTCTCACTCCTCTCCGGATTGTGCTGTCTGCATAGGGTCCTGAAAAAACGCACCGTGACACTCGAGACCACCGAGAAGAGCGCACAACAGGGTACCAGATAGTGCTGCTCTGAGAGAACAGCAATGCTGGGGATATGGCACCCCTGTACCTTGCGTTTCCTCCTGTGGTCTGCTGACTCCATCTCTGAGGGATACAGGTGCCTCATGGTACTCCTGTGGGCCGAGCCGTCCGATGTCTCTCTGGGGCAAGAGCCAGGCACCCGAGCCAGGAGAGCCAGGTCAATCTTCACCAGCAGGGACTTCAGCCCTCTAGTTTGCTTGAGGTGGGAGAGCAGCTCATTGCGTCCGAAAGGCACGAGAGTGTAGAGCGCCTCCTCCTGGCCGCGCGGGATCTCTCCGGCCGCCTGGACACGCTCCGGGCGCGGCCTGGTCCTTCTCCCGCCGTCCTGGAGCCTCCTCTGCCGCTGGCTGGAGGTGGAATCCGCCGGGACTTTGGCAACGGCCGGCGGGCTGGGCTCCGAGTCCGAATCGGAGCAGGACGTGGACGACCGAGCGGCGTCTGTCGCCGCCCTGGATTCGGGAACGGTCCGGATGGGCCTCCTCCTCTCATGGGCTGCCACCCACTCTTTCCATTGGCCTGCGCTGTTGGTGTGAGGCCTCTGCTTGGGCTGCACCTCCAGAGAGTCCGTTTCCAGCTCCTTCTGCTCAACCGCGCGAACCCAGCGCTTCAGCGTCTCGTTGGCAGGAGACCCCACGGCCGTCTTCCCCTCCTTCCTAGCTTGCGGTTTCCACTGCGCGCTGCCTTCGCTGTGGCGCGAGGGCGGAGGACGGACGCTGTCGACTGTGACGGCTCTGTGCTCGGTCCCAGCTCTGGGCTGAGGTCCTGCTGGGCTCCGGCTCTCCTTCTCCCTGGGGCTTTCCCACGCTGCCGGAGACTCGCCGCAGGCCGACTGCTCCGAATCGGAGGGGCTGAGGTCCTCCTCCTGGTTTGTCCCGCTTTCTGGCTTCCCGGAAGGTTTTTTCACCTTTTTCAACCACTCGTTGAGCTGCCACTGCGTGGAGGACGGCTGCTCTGTCTGGAAGGCGAAGCAGAGTGGATAAAAGTTAAAGCATGTGCTGCGGCAGCTCTCCCTGCCCCGACTCGCGAGCCTCTGGGCATACACAGTACCACTCCACAAACAGCGGACAACTCCTCCACACCAAAATCTGTCCTCTGCCTCAACAGATTTACCCCATCTAGATTTCACGGGGTGACGTCACTTCTGTAGCTTGCTCAGCGCGCTGAGCCCTGCTACACTTACAAAGTTATTTTTAACCAGATGAAGACAAGTGCCATGTTGTCAGTAACGTTTTAAGACTGGGAACTGTAAGTCTTGTGGTAAAATGCTGCTGCTCTGGTCCAACATCTATAAGTGCATTCATCTTTTTTCAACAAATTCTATTTACAGTTTTGCTTCTTCCAGAATTCTTACAATTTCCACTGTGTGGTTTAGAAGGAGAGGTAAAAATATGTTGTTTCAGTTAATTCCTTTCATATAGAAATGTATAGTTCTTTGAGCACTATCACAAACCTTCTTTTTGAATTATATTCACACAGCTAAACCACAGTTTTCTGCATTCCATGATTATTATTATTTCCCTGTTTATTATGTATTTTCTGGAGCTGGGAGTCAGAGCCGGAAGTCGTATTACTCTAGTATCGGTTTTGTTATAACAGTGATATGGTGGGTTTGATGGTGAAAATTTAAATGTCCATTTCTAAGAAATAAAAAGTGAAATTGCCTAAACTTAAACAGAAATAAGTTTAAAAAACAATTCCGTGTAAAACGTAAAGTGTAAGACCTCCAATTTACATATCAAAATAGATTAAATTTCCAGGTATACGCAGAGCCTTATTTTGTGATTCAGAACGAGGCAACAAAACTTCTGGTGACATGTGTGACCTTTGACATTTTAAACAAGCCTGCTTGTGAATACATCTCTTTTAATTCAATAGAAATATTGCTCTCAACTTTGAGACGGTTTTGCAGACAAATATAACACACATGTTAACTGTGTATGCAGATCACATCAGAACACTTCTGTGGTGAAAGATCTGCTGCGCAACCTATATTTTTTCAGTTGTACATCACATTGCAGTAGTCATTACAGAGACTAGTGAGCAGGAAGGGCCGCATCACATTGCAAGTGGATGTGAGTTTGTGACAACATGGTTACTTACAGTACTTTCACAAATTTTCACGATTTTGTGCTTAAAAATTTGTAAAATATGTATTTTTTTTCTTTACCATCAGTTAATTTGTTTCATTTCCGAAATTTAATAACTGCATGGACTGCAGTTCCTCTTTAAATATTTTGGGAAATCGTTGGAAACAAAGCATGAAACCTGTGTTGGAAACACAGTTGGAAACCTGTGTTGTGATTATGTCACCAATAAACCAATCAAAAAATGATGGGACAAAAAATAAAATGGAGAAAGGTTACGTTTTTAAATTGCTGGAGCTGCGGTATTTGCAAAAAAAAGGCAAGTGCTTGCTCACGGTTGTCAGCAGGTCATCGAAACAGTTAACATCTGAAACCCTCTGAGCAACGCACTCACGGGGTTCTGAGAGCTCTGGACCATGAAGGTCCCGGGAGTATCGGATCAGGAATATATATCCCAAGCAGAGATGTGACCAAACACCGGACTCCTCTGTTCTGCCAACAGAACTGAACGTCTGCAGGGAGCTTGCGTCAAAGGAAAATTAAACAAGCCTACAGGTTTCAGGTTTATTTTTGTGCCTTCTCTTCAATACATCAACAGCCCTAAATCTCGCCCTGAAAGAAATAATCATGGAAACTTGTCCTCCTTTTCTGTACTAATGTTCAACCCCCACCCTCCACCCAAAGCCATGCCTAAAATTCCCCCTTCATGCCTAAAAGACACTACATCTCTTGTACCCTTCAAGCCCCTCCTTCACAGGGGAGTCTGTGGTGTTTCCATTTAATTCTATGCATGTGAAACACAGAAGGGTTCCCTAATCTGCAATGCCTCTGTGTATCTCAGTTTTATTGTCAATACACTGCCACACATAATTCCAGCACAAGTGCATATTTTAAGACGTTGTCTTTCTCTAAGGAAACGTGAAAGTCAGTTTTACATGACCGTCTGTGTGAGGCTGGACTTCAGGTATAACTTTTTTCGTTGTTGTTTTAAATGTTTTATTTTGTCAAAGTTTGTTATTTAATTCTCCTTTTTGTCAAACTGCAGGAAAGGATCCATGAGTCCCTGAGAAAGCGCAGAATGTGAGATTAGAAATTGATTTGCAAGATTAAGAAATAATGCAAATCAATCAATAAAACTTCAGGCAGCAGTGGGTTCGTGATTAGAGGTCTGTGGGTTCGAATCCCAGGCAAGACACTGTTGTTCTACCCTTGAGCAACAACCGTCGCCCACTTAGGCCCAGTAAAACCAGCTTTACAGATGGGCGCAATGGGCGATAGAAGTGTCAGCTGAATCAATTAGTGTGAATGAACAGGTCTCCCACAATACATGCTCAATTACGGCAGTGCAATAAGGTATCCTTTAGCTTTAATGTACTACAGAGGTTTAAAGGCAGAAAAGAAGCAGAAAGTGTACCGGTGACACAGTCCGAGAGCTGCGTCGGCACCCAGTTGTTTGCAAAGGAAGAAGCAAAGGTTCATTCCAGGCGGAAGAGCCGAAAGGAGAAACACCTGAATAAAGTACAACAGGTGCAATCTTATGTTTCATCTTTCTACTTTTCAGCCCGGAAGCAAGCGCTCAGGTTGAAGGGTTTCATGTTATAGCTCCGTTCAAGCAATGGTAGAGTTTCCAATGGGCCTGGAACGGCTTTCAGTTGCTGCGCACAGGTGCGTAACTAATGCCCTGCTTTTTTGCCATTGGAAGAAAAGATGAGGAGTTCGACCCAAGCAGCCTGTCGCTCTTTTGTAGCGATCTACCTTTTTACTGCTTTAAGAAAGTGACACTGAACCTGAGCACAAACAATTAAAAAAAAAATTATCTTCTGAAGCGAGCCATCCCGGAACGTGACTGCTGCAACGACGTGCAAACACATTTATTTTCTAGCAAGACCCCCTTCTACCCCCCGCCCCCCAGGCTCTCAAGCACATGTTCTATAAATGGCCTTCCTGGGGCTCTGGGCTGAGAAAACAGGCCAGCGCCAGGGAGCCGCGGCAAGGCCTGCGCCAGGAGATCTCCCACCTTCTGTGGGGAGCAGCCGCCTGGGGGAGGGAGAGGGCAGGCAAGGGCAGCTCCCGCGGAAAATACTCGCCGGTCTGGACGTTACCTCGGAGGTGAAGCAGGGCGGGGGCCGGCGGCCGGCGGGGTCGGGGTCAGGATCGGGGTCGCTGGCGGCGGGGCTCTCGCTGCGCGACTCCCAGCTGCTCTCTGAGGCGCTGGAAGAGCTGGAGCTGCTGCTGCTGGAATGCCTGGATCTCTTGCCATGCGAGAGGTCCGGCGGCGGCGGCGGCGGCGGCGGCGCGGGGCTGTCAATCAGGGGGAGCGAGAGGTCTCAGTTTACCAGCAGCCCTGAGGAGCAGCTGGCCACCAGAGCGAGCCTGGAGCGAGGAACTCGGAGACGGAGTGAAGGACAGCTCAGGAGCTATCGGCAGACGTTCGGGAGCCAGTGAACCGTCTCGAATCCTGCTGATCTCCTGGATCACAAGACCAGCGGGATTTAAGAACCTACCGTGTCTTGGAGAGCACCCCAAGCATACGATTACCTCACCGCATTTGGCCTTTCTGATAAGTTCAGCTTATCATATCACACTCGAAACCCAACTCAACCCTAAGAGACCTGAGAAACATAGGCCAATGCTTTCAGGAACTGTGCTACTGGGACAGCAGACTGGAATTCAGCTTTCCTTAAGAAGTGCTACAACAGCCCGATGGGATTCAAAAGAGAAAGAAGTGTTTTGGGTTTGAGGGCGCACAATGGACAAGTTACCCTAAGTCACCAAGTTGCCAAGTCTTTCCAAAAAACAACGACAATCAGTGAGGAAGTCTTCCTTACAACAGAAGAGATTGGGCCTCAAATTTGAAAAAATCTCCAAAAATGTTGGCTTTTCCAAAAATTAGAGGTATTTCATTTACCTGTAACTGTAACAGAATAATGGCTGCAAATACTGTACATCCAGATATTTTAAAGAATTCAGCTAATACCATTATGTCTATACTGCTACATATAATAATAATAATAAGAAGAAGAAGAAGAAGAAGAAGAAGAAGATTTCTTGCTGCACAGAGAAGGCACTGTGGTTTAGGGTCTTGAAGGCTGACAGGGTGATTTTTCAGAGCAGTCTGCTCCTGTTGCTTTTTCAAAAGTTATTCATGTTTTTCTTTTAAACATTCACAGATTCATAGCTGCAGACTGAAACTCCAGGTTTAGGAGCTTGAATTGGACATTCTAATCTTGGGACAGAAAGAGTGGAGCAAATTTTGCAGAGGAGAGGAGCAAATGTCTTGTTTCACAGAATGGGTGAATGCACTGGTGTCACAGACTTGGTGTCACAGATGGTGTAGATTTCGACTGTATTACCGCTGCTCTTCTGCACTGTTAGGATCTGGGTGATGGGCTTCAGGCTTTGAAACCATATTTAAAATCCAGATGTGCTGATCTGGAAAAACTATTCATCCCCCCGCAGCAAACATTTTTGTCCGATTAAAAGAGCTTGTTGATCAGTGAGCTCCTAGGCCTGTCTGTGAAGGCAGCAGCTGTTTCTCCACACTGCCGTGTGGAGTGATCATTCATCCAGGCTGCAATAGCACACTCCTGTGAGATTCCACACGGCACTTTCTCTTTCTGACAAAGGTTTGCTTGTCCAGATGGACAAATGGGCCAGCGGTGGGGATAAAAAAAAATCAAAAGCTTGGACTTTTGTTTTCCATTGACCTGGCTGCAGGAGAACCAACAAGATGTCTCTTGTTCAGAACTGGAAAGTAGGAGCTATAGACTGAAAATGTAATTACTCCAATTACTCCTAACGTCACAGTGAGAGCTGGCCACTGGCTTTGCCTGTCCAAGTTCCGCCCACCTCCTGACCCAGCAGTGATTCTGAAGGCATACTGTACCTGCTACAGCACCTGCAGTCAAGCCCCTGCATTGAGATCACACCCTGGGCAGCCCTGAGCACTGGAGTCACACAGGCCCCAGTGAGCCTCTAGTCTGCTGACAGGAAGGACTGCTCCACTCGCAGCAGCCCAGGAGAGTGATGTCATTGCAACAGGCTCATTACGTGCTCTCAGCCCTGTCGTGCCTATCTACCCTGCCCAAGCGTGCTGGTTCCTGTGTGGGAGCAAGCAGCGTTGACAGCTATAAAAGCTGCAGTGATAAATCAAGCACATGGTCATGGGACCAGTGTTGGCCAATCATTATGGGTTTTAGCATCGCTGTCCAGCGCTCATGGATCCACATTACACATACTCCTAGCAACACTTTACACACTCTAGCAACTCACTGTAAGGTTACTATGCATTATCGGCCAGAGCGCTAACAGCCTCTTTGAACCAAACTGACTGACTGGATTACTGGTCCTGTAAATATTCTTCTAATCCGGGTCACAATGCCTTACCTCTGCCCCACACCTTCCCTTGAAGAAATAAAATACATTCCTCAATTGATGAAAGGGAAACTGCAATGCTGCAATTTCGGGATTAGAAAGAATTAGCACTGATGAGTTCATTTCAAATTACAATAAAAGGAAGATGTACATAGTAATTTAAAAAAACCTCAAGTTTTACATCACAAAATAGATGGTTTCTAATTTTAGGTATGTGCAGTGCCATATTCTGTGATTCAGAATGAAGCAACAAAAACTTCTGGTAATGTGATGCGGCTTATAACATTGTAAACAGCATTGTAAAAAATCCAAAATATTGCTCTTGACTTTGAGACAGTTTTGCCGACAAATATTACTTGTTTGTTGACTCGAATGCAGATCACATTGGAACATTTCTGTGTTGAAATATCCGCTGTACAACCTGTACTTAATCGCTTATACATCACATTACATTAGTCATTAAAGTGATTAGTGAGCAGGAAGGGCTGTCACAGTTCACGTGAACTCTCGACAACATGGACGCTATCCAGTACTTTCACAAAGCTCCCCCTTTTGTGCTTAATTTGGAATTTGTAGAAATTTTTCTATACCATCAATACATTTATTTTGTTACCGAGATTTAATAACCAGTCTGAGAAACTGGGGCTCAAGTCCCCCTTTAAATGATCTCTCTCTCACACACATACTGTAACACAAAACAACCCACTGAAGGTCTTTCAGAAGTACACCTGCAAAGTTTTCACAAGGGGACAGGAAGGAGTGCTCTGTGGGAGGCAAAGAAGCGATTACCTTTCATTATCGCCCCAGGGATCAGACCTCGGAGAGCCCTGCGGACAGACAGGAGAATGAGAGTGATTATAGAACGTGCCGCCATTTCCAGTCTTTGAAAACTCCTGTCAGCCCTGTCACTCTTGGCAATACAAATGAGTGAAGAGGGATATCTGGGAGCTCCTCCTGAGCACACTTCAAGTGCCCTCCTGCTTTTACAGAGCGATGGCTGAGGCCCAGCATGCTAAATTGTGATTAAGCAATAAGACACGAGAGGCCATGCTATATCGTGAATATAATCGCAGTTAAAAGGTGTTGTTAGGCCCGACGCAAAGCGGATATGATAAAGGAAAAAATATGATAAAGGATGAAAAGACTTGTTTTTTTGTTTATTTCTTGTGCACATTTATTTGAACATCTCCATCGCTCGTACAAGCCTGAAGAGTATTTTTAACAGGTATCCAGAACAGCTTCTCGGTTTTCAACACAAGAGCCCTCCCATTTTGAGTGCTTCCTTACTTCTCCTGTATCAGTCATAGACTGGAGCTTTCCTCAATGAAGTTCCAGTTGTGGAGACTATGTGGGAGTACATTTAAAAGTGATAATAGGAAGGATTTTCTGAACTACATGCCTGTTGGAGTGTGGAACAAGCTGCCCAGCCATGCGGTTGAAGCTGATACTTTTGGTCTCATTCAAAAAAACAACTGGATGAGATCCTTGGCTCCAAACTAGCTACTAACTAGCAAACCGGCTGCACTTTCCCAATAGCGTCCTCTCGTTAGTATGTGATCTTAAGTTTTAAAATAGGAGGGGATGTGTTCGGCGTCCACTCTCACACAGAGTGGACTCCCAAATAAAAACAATCACATACATTTATTCATGTACAGTAGATGCGGCTGTACGAAAACTCATTCAACCACCTGGCTGGGCAGCTTGTTCCACACTCCCATGACCCTTTGAGTAAAAAAGCGCCCCCTCTTTGGATCTCGGTTTCCCAATCTCCACCTGTGCTCTCCGGTTCGTGTTTCATTTCACTGTTCATCCTGAAGAAGTCCATTGCATTGACATTGTCAGGGCCTTTGAATATTGTAAATTCTGATATGGGGTCCCTTCACCTACATGCACTCTTATGAGAAAGTGCCTTTTAATGTGCCCATTTTTCGTTTACTCTGCTTTTTTGAGGAAATCAAGAACTGCCTGTGGATGCAGGGGTGCATTTAGATCAATTACAATAGGAGGTCCTTATTGTATTTTCTTGCACAGGAGGTAATTTGCCAGGTGGTATTATGTGCAGGAAAGGAAAGGATTTTTAAAGAAAGCCAAGAGAGGAATCTGCTCTCTATGCAAATGGTGCTTGGACCCAAATGACAAGAAGAAACTCTTTTAACCCGCTTGCATTCTATGTCAGTCCAACAGCGAGGTGAGTGAACACAGGGCCTTTATTTTTTGTGTTTAACTACTGAATGAAAAGGCTCCTTTCAGGTCTCCATTTCTTTCTCCATTCTGTTCCTGTCATCCCAATTGGGTTTGCCTTCACAGAAACACGTGGACAAACCTGCAAAAAAACATGGCTCATTGGACTTGGACCCCAGTTCCCACCAAACAGCTGAACTTTTAAATACTTCTTACTTTTAATCGGCCGTTTTAAAAAAAAAACAACAACAACGAAAACATGTTGAAACCCAGCCTTCACTTTCAACACTGGGGCAAAGAAAAACCTGAGCCCACCAGACTGGCCGCGTCTGATTCAGGCCGGCTGGAGCTCCAGTATGTGAGGAATGCTGGCACACGGGGTTGGGGGGGAGACTGGTTGAAATCCCAGAGGAAGTGCGGACCAGGCCGACGGGATGAAATCACAGCCCCCAGTCTTAACGGGGAGCACAAAGGGGCCTTTTAGGCGGAGCTGGCCGGCTCAGCGCGGATTTACACAGAGTGGAGCGCATTCTCACATTCACACTCCGCAGGCTGGAGCCACAGAGAGGCAGGCAGCTTCGCCTGGGCTGCTGAAGCAGGAAGCCCTTCGCCGGGCACGACGAGCCACGTGGAGACACGTCAAGCCTGGGATTCTACCTCCTGTGCTGCATGGCACACACTCTTCAAAAACACAAGCCTGAGGGCACAAGTGGACTCTACATGGAAGCGAATTTAATAATAGCATGCACTTCTTTACACAAAGAGTGGTGGGCGTATGGAACAACCCCCTGAGCTACATGGTTGAAGCCGATACTTTGGCTTCCTTCGAGAAACAGCTGGATGAGATCCTCAGATCCATAACTCAGACTAGGGGCTGAATGGCCTCCTCTCGTCTGTGTCCATTCTTATTTTCTCATGCTATAAGACAAATCTTTTGCTACACAACATGACAAGAGCACCTGAGCATCGCTGTCAAATACTGACATCATGATGAAACCAGCAAGTGGATGTCGTCAAGCTACTGACCATGTGATCTTGACTCTGTATGACTTTAACTGGTGTCACTTAGCCCAGGTTTGCAGGTGCAAAGACAATCCCAAAAACGGAGAGCTCAGTGGAACACTGATAGTGTCTCGGATCAGACAAGTAATGTGGTGATCAATACTTCTATTACTGCCATTACTGCTAGCTTCAATACTTCACTATTATATCAGCATGTCAGCCACTCAGTTTCCTGAGCTTCTTACAGCACATGAGGCTCCTTGACACAGCGAGTTAACTTGCACTATATCATCCAAATGAATATTGCTCCTCATTTTCTCTGACCATTCTCTCTTAGGGGGAATGTGCCATTAATGTCAGTTTATGGTATTAATATGCTGACATTCTCCCTGTTAACAATATTAACGTAACTTCTCTTTCATTGAGGATATCATTCAGCTCGAATATACCCCAGGGGTGGTGTGGGTTACAAACATCTCTGGCCCTGTTTGAAGGAATGTACTTTCCTGGTTCCAGATAAACTTCAGATTGACTGGACAGTTAACGTGTGCCTGAGGCAGATGACACACGACAGGCCGGACCCCAGCTTTGTGCCTTTAGATCAAAGTCAAGTCAATACACTGACCACCTCACACAAACACCTGCCTTACAGTTTGCAATCCTGGGCACACTACTATTGACAATGTGTTAATACAGATTAGGTCAACCACTTTCAATTGCTTTCCCAAAAAACTTAGAACATCTCCCAAACTCTCAGTGGTCATTAAAGATCCCTGGGCATTTCGATAAGAGTATGGAGTTATCCCAGTGTCCGGGCCAAATTTCCCCCCTCTGCCTTTACCGTGGCGTCCAGATTGTCCCCATGTAAGATTGGTTTGCACCTGCCCTGCGAATGACTGGTGCCTCGTCCAGGGTGTACCCTGCCTTGCGCTCGATGCTTGCTGGGAAGGCTCTGGCTACCATATGCAATAAAGTGGTTTGGCAAATGACATGACATCTCCCAGACACTTTTATAAATAATGATACTTCATCATTTGGAAGTATTGGTATGCCCTGTGTGGCTCAGGGCTGCAGTGGTTAGAATTGCTGTCTCACAGCGCAGGGGCCCTGGCTTCATTTCTGGATCTGAGATGCTATCTGTGTTTATACATTCTGCCCAGCTTTCCTCCAGGTGTTCTGTCCAGGGACATACTGGTATGTTATTAGCTTCCAGGAAAATTGGCCCTGGACCAAGTGTGTCTGTCTGCCCTCCGATGGACTGGTGTCCTGTCCAGGGTGTGTCCTGCCTTGCCCCCATTGCTTGCTGGGATAGGCTCTGACTCCCCTGCAAACCTGGATTGGATGAAGAGGTTCCAAGGTGGACACTAAGCCCTGTCTAGGTCTCCTGTCTATTGATTTACATTTCCTTTTATTTATCCATCCATTGTGAGTAAAATGCTTCGTGATAGATAAAGAAGTACAGCAACACTCCCTGAAACTGTGTGGTCATTCACGGAACCCAATCCTTCATTTGACAAGAAGCCCGTGTTGTCAGTCCAACACTGTCAGGAGTGTGGAAGGTGTCCCACAGATGTGCTCACCTTGTTGTTATCTTCCTCATCACTGCTGAGTTTCAGGTCATCCTCCAACATCCTGTGCAGGGGAACAGCAAAGTGACAGAGTTACCCACTGAGGCCCCCAGTTCTCAGAGCAGACCACCTCATGCCAGACAGACAATAAGATGGAACCATATGAGATTCAGGTCACTTTAATGGGGTGAAGTCTCAAAGAGCTATGAGATGCAACGCAGGCATCTCATCTTGACATGCTCTGTGAAAATGTGAAGAGATATATTCTATCTTTACAAAGCTCGGATGCCAAGATCCTAACATATTACAGAGCCTTACAGCAGGTTCTGCCAAAATCAATGTTAATGCACCTTTACAAAAATCACAGCCTTTCAATAGACAGAGTTTAACTGTTCAAGCTGCAGCCCTTCGGCACAACTTTTATTGCTATCTGGGTTTCTCATAGACAACATTAAAATGCCACATATCCTTGAACAGTACTGCTCAGCTGCTTTGACAGACAGATCCCCAGATCACAAAGGGCTGACTTTCGTAATGTGTCACATCACCACAGGCTCTTCTTCAATCCTTTCCTTGTCAGGCTTCGAACTATAGCTTTCAGGCCATGTCAGAGAATGAAGCTTCACTTCTGAGGCTCAGCTCCCTGGTCAAAAGGCTAAATCAGTCTCATATTTCAGATGGCTCTTCTTACACATGGTGTAGGCTTTCCAAAAATCTGTCACCAAGCAACAACCTCCCTTAACTCAGATGCTTTGAGTTACCCAAGACACTCGTCTTGACAACTTTTCATCACAGTGGGCAAATCTAAAACATTCTATTCAGATATGCAATAGAAATGAAACACAGATGCCAAAACCGCAGGCAAGAGTCTGTAGTGAAGTGGAAGTAAGCAGACCTTAGCAGTAAAAGGTTAACCAAGGCAACTGGTCTGATTTGAAGTTGTGGATTTTCATACAGGCAGAAAGATCTTCTGAAATCAGAATGATCCACATTTGAACCCACCAAAGACTTGCTTTTGCTTCTGAAAGAAGAGAAAGGTTTCTGAAGGAGCACTTCAATTTTATCCAGCCTTTCCAAAGGAAAAAAAACAAACGAAGAAAACATTTCTCTCATGCAAAAGGTTCAGAAGACGTCACAATCCCAGCTTCAAGGACTGCGCCATTACCTGAGAACTCTCCCAATAGTTCCCAATAGTAAATTAAAGATCAAGTGGATTGTTCCTCTTTGCAAATAGTTATCCTGCCTCCTTTTAAACTGAATGGCATAAATATACTGTACCTGTCAAGAGAATCCATTAGTCAATTTTTTTAAATATAACCTGACAATACAAGAGAGTAGGCATTCACATCTATGATATTAAGGACCAGAGATAAAAATCCCATTGCATAGCAATTTGATCTATAAAATATGTATCTGTACTATATATGCCTTTGCATATGTATAAAATGATAGTGATTTTTTCTGAGGAATAGCAGTGCTCAATCCATTTTTCCTCTAACAAACTGGTAGGACTTTTAAGTGGTGTAGTTTAATGCATTCTGCAAAAAAAGTAACCTGACCTTTAATTTCAGTTTATTTTTGGACATTTCTCTTTTCTTGAGTAAAGCTGTCAGAGCCATAATTTCCCTTGTCATTACCACCAACATCCCTCAGTATTGGTAAAGTCTGTTTTCAGACCATGGAAAACTAAATTCAGTTGTCTCCAAAGGATAAAATATTCACAACAGCTCTGCCAATTAAAAGTAGAATCCTCAAACCTTCAGGTTATTTGAGAAATCATAATACGCCTAGGTTGAACTATGTGGGAAGATGCTCTGTTCTGGCTAAATGAGGCCAATTATCAGACTATTTAATGTTGGAGTCAGCTTGCTAAAGAGCATTACAACAGTAGCTCAAAGTTTTGAAGACAAAACAGGGAGCCAGGGAGGAACCAATTCGATAAAGAGGAAGTCACAAACAGGAGCTGAAAATGTTATGTGGAATAATTTAATACAATGACTTATTTAAAAAAAAAAGGCTTTGGTGTATTGGCTCCGTAAAAAACACTCTTAATCTAGTCCATAAGGGATCATAGCATTTCTGTTGTTTGTTTCAGTTGAGCTCCATATTGTTTACTGGACCTAATCGTTCCAAATTGTTTACTGTAACTAATCGTTTCCTTAACTGATCCGGATGACACATGTTCTTACTATTTTATCAGTTGATTAATAAAACATGCCGGAATCCAGTCTCTGGTGCCCACAATTTAGACATGCCTATTGTAAGAATACAAGTTATTCGTGGGCAAAAATGTTTGAACACATTTGAACACCTCAACCATGGTAGTCTGAAATAACTGGAAATGTTTTTTCTTCGTCAATACTGTCACAGGCATTAAAAGTCATTTCTTTTTTGTGACCAGTCAAACTATGGACCAAATTTTTCAACACCTCTAAAGGTAGGTAAATGTGGCTGAGGATTAGGAGGCTGATAGAGAACAATCCAGATTTTTCCGAGCTGCTTGTGGCTTTTGTTCAAAATCATTCACCAAATAGTATAGCTTGGTTGTGGAAGAGGTGTTTGTCACCCTGTGTCTCAATGGGTGCTGGCGGTACTATCCGAACTGTCATAGAATCTTTTTTTTGCATACAAGTCTGAGGAGTGCCAGAGAGTTTAAGAGGAGTCAGTGCTTAAATACTGCCCCTTTAAAAACTCTGGGTCAGGAGCTTTGTGGGCCTCTATAAGACATTAAACCCAGTACCAAATAGTGCTTTGAATCAAGTTCACATTTCACGTTTATTTTCACAAATTCTAGTTAAAAGTAATTCCTCAGTAATTCCTCGTTAGCACTGGAGTCTATAGTACGCTTTAGTTTGAAAAACAATGTCAGTGATGATTATTGTAAAATAATTTTGGGTGCTGTGGGATGTTTGGGCCATTAAATATTTGGAAAGCACTGGGTTAAGGTTTGTGCAATGCACAAACATTTTTTTTAAAAAAGATTTCTCTACATGTCCAATCGATTTCAAAGATAGTTAAAAGAATCAGAGCTCATTTGATCATTTTTTGTTAATTCTTCAGCTTGATATATTTAAAGTACTGATACCTAATTACCTAATACCCACTGTTACATTACAGTTTAAACCACTTAATGTTGCTTTGCAGAAGGATAGAGGGTCACTTACGATTTATGAGGAATGTTGCGCGATGGGCTCCTGGTGTGAACATCACACTTTACTGTCAATGGGAAGACAAGGAGTTCAGATTTACTGTAAGCAATGGCCATCTTCTCTGAATCAGGTCTATAAATCCTACAACCATTTAGAAAATTAATAATCAGCCTGTGTGTTCCACAGGGGAGGATGCTGGAGTCTGGGTAAATTCCCACAAGGCTCACCTCCAATACAGAATCGCTTGACAAGGGGTAACTAAAAACATTTACAGAAGTAGGCCAAGAGCAGGTAAATAAAGTAGGTGATTTCTTAAGTGAAAGCAGGAGTTGTCTATAACTAACATGTAAGGCTTCTGCAGATAGGCTGATTTCATTGTAGCCTCTGTATTCACCTGTTTTCATGTAAGGACATTAATGACTGTAGGACTTAATATCTGCAGTGATAATGTTGCATTCTTCTCCAAGTGGACGAATGAATTGCAATTTAATACAATTTTATCATTGCAACCCCATTTATCATGGCCTTGGCCACCCTATTCCTTCACAAAACTAGCAAAGTTTTCTTTTTGTTTTCAAGGGGCAACCGCTGAAATCATTACCAGGGACATCTCCCACAGTCACTACACAGATTGAAAACTGCTTACTTTGCTTATGGTGGACCGAACGCTGCTTGGGCTCCTGGAGTAAAGAGAGAGAGAGATTATTTTAAAAACACCAGTAATGGTACTGGAAGAAATAAGGTGCACTAGACAGCTATGGACATTTATAATTAGGTGAATATTCTTCAGTTACCAAGTACATTCCACATGAAATGCTTTGTTAATGTTTCTAATGACCTGAATGACCCTTCGTGACTTTACACTGAATACCAGGCTAGGCCACTCTTAATCACTTCGTAAGATGATACAAGACACAATGTTCAGACACAGAGGACCAAAACCTACCCCCATAACACTGGGGGTGTTATGGTGTCAAACAAGTGACATGGTTTTCACTTCAAGTCACTGGTGGAAATGCGCTCTGGAAGTGTCGGGGGGGGTACCTTGGCGCTGTAGGGAAGCCTCTGGGACTCTGCTCTGCTAGACGTGTGAATGGCAGAGAGTGGAGACGGCCAAGAGTGGGTCATTTCCTAAGAAGAGAGGAAACCAGATCAGCGTCACAGCAGTATTCCACAGACCACATGATCCGGGGGCTTGGGGGCACAGAGACCGCAGGGGCAGGAATTTAGCTAACGGCGCTATGAGAGAGCAGGATTGAGAAATACCGCTCTGTCTTCAGGAGCTTGCCAGTTCTGATAAGCATGGGCATCAGTTCAAACAAGGTGCTAGCAATTAAACTGAAAACAAAGTGTTTGCTATTCGATGTCAGTAAGGTCGATATTCAGTAGTTCTGGTAGTGCATTTTGACACGTCAAGTTCTTGCGCTGCCTCACAGCTCTGCAGTACTCAGTTTGATTAGGGCTTGCAGCACCTTCTGTGTGGAGTTTGCATGGCCCTTCCGTCATGTTTGTATAAAAATGTAAGCACTCCGGTTGCATTCCATGTTCTAAAGACATGCTGACCATGGTTAACGTCTCTAACTGCGTCCTTGTGTCAGTGAGTGTACAGGTATGTGAGAACCCTGCGATGGACTGGTGCCCTGTCCAGGGTGTGGTCCTGTCTTGTGTCCTGTGATGGACTGGTGGCCTGTCCAGGGTGAGGTCCTGTCTTGTGTCCTGTGATGGACT